AATTTACGTTCATCTACACTTCCAAAGTCCGGTGAAAACAACCTGGCCAGTGCACATTGAACATCATTGGCATAACTTTTCATGTTCATGTGGTTGAACATTCATTAAGCAATTCATAATCCAGACAGACAGACAGACAGAGCTCGACCCCATCAATCGTAACCAGTAAACTGACAAAATAATTCTCTGCAAAAAGTGTGGGGCATGATTGTAACAATCAAGATGGTGGATTACATAATACTAATAAAAACTTAATATCTAGAAAATGAAAAGTTATATTAAAAAATTGTAAATTGCATTTTCTTACATTTATGGAGCCCTTTTATCTAAGAGCATTATGTTGTTTACCTTGACCTTCCCTTTAATTGTTATGACCAACATGTTTTACCTCTTATCCAGCGCTATGGATCTGTGCACTAATGCATGTTTTGTGGTCTTCACCAAATGAAACATACTTCTCATTGTCAAAGGCCACTTGAATCTTGAGCTTTACGGTGCTTACTATGTTCATGTTACCTGAATTCGGCATAATGTTTAATCTATCATGTTTGCAGAGGAACTACAGTAGTTGCATTCACGCTGGGAGGGCCCACTTTAGGATCAACTGGGTCAGGGCAAAATTCATTTTCCCATTCGTCGATCAGTTTTGACTAATTTTAGCAGCTCATCACATTAAATATGCAAAGCCGACAACTTTATGCATTAAATACTACAGCATCTTGACCATGCGCCGAGATTTGTAACGTGAACACCACTAGTGAGTGGTTTTCTGCAAATTAATGCAAAGTGGGAATGTAGTTTCAAGTTTATTTACCGTGTCACACATGATATTCCAATTATTACAGGTTGTCCTAATGGTAAATATGGTGATACATGTCTACATAACTGTCCTACATGTTATAATGGAGGTATATGTAATGCAGACACTGGAGAATGTATATGTCCACCAGGATTTACCGGAGATGACTGTAATACAGGTGAGACAAATAATGACTCAGAGCTCGTGAATAGTTGACCTTTTGTTTGTGCATGCATGTTTACATAAATAGGGTGTGATCTATGGTAAACATAAGTCTTATAAGAATGATAAAGTACATAATTATTGCAATTATTCACACTTGGTTTAAATATGTGACATAGAAATGAGTGGACAGAATAAAGACATGTATACTGAAGATAATTGGCACCAGAAATACTAATATACTCTCCAAGATCTTTCAATTAGATAAGTGTAGTAAACCTAGTGAATACACGTATAAATAAAAAAAGTGTATTTTGTCCATCTTCTCAAATCTGGCTATCATTTGATTTTGCTTACATACATATATTACTGCGCTATTAATTGGCAACTTTCATAAAATTATAAAATAAACAAATAGTGGTAGTCATTAGAGTGACCACTTGTTTATTAGTCACATCAATTACTTACACTAACAGCCCAACTCCCCCAGGCGGAACTGCTGTGTTTTAGCTCGGAACAGTGAATCGAAACTGAGAGTCTACAGGTATTACGCATAATCCCCAGATGTGCCGTGCGCCTATGATTATTCATGCCTTTGAAGTGACAGTAATGGTTTTCTCATGAACGCCGCCACCTTATATCTGTATTTGTCCGTCACTCAGCTTACAACGTTCTCAATGAGCATCGGTGTAGTGTATGTAAAACGGTCCCAGCGTAGAAGCACCACCGATTATTTGATCATAGACAATATTATTCTCTCAAATGTATTTGATTCAGTATTGCAGTCATTTTTCTTTTGCTTTTATTGAATATAAATGTACTAGACTCATCACTACGTGTGTGGTGTGCTGTAACAAATTAATATGTTCAGTGAGAAATTATGTCGCCCATTTCAGATTCGGCTTGTTTCTCATGCTCTAATCATGTTTGTCATTTTGTGGTCAGTCAAGTTGTTTCTAGTCCACCACCACATAATTTCATTGCTTAATTTAATGTAAATTAATTTAATTTATTAAGGACACCCTTTAAAAGGGCACAGCACCTAGGTCTCTTGGTGTGATTTGGGAACCCTTCTAACCAACCTCTGTATTGCAGTTTATTCTTATGTATAGTTTTTTATCTGTAGTGCAGTTTATTTTTTGTGAAAAAACACTCGTTTTCCTGTTACAAACTAAATTTAAGATTCATATGAATATAATCTACACAATTTTCATTCTATGCAACTAGGCAAAGTATGAATACATCATTTGCACCATGTAAATATGTGCACAAATTAAAGTTTGATCATGTACAATGAGATTTAGGGCACTTGTTTATGTGACCACCAAATTTATTTTTAAATGTTGATATCTCGCTGGCATGAAGAAGATGACGTAGTCATGTTTATTTTCAAATGTTGATAATAAATACTTTTCATCAGACCAATCAGCGTTCACAGTGTTAACAATCTAAAGTTTCAGTTGAATTCTTAACAACAATAGTTTTTATATTTTAGGTTGTGCACGAGGCTATTGGGGAAAGTCATGTGGGCGCCTATGTTCAAGTGTAAATACAGCTACAGCTTGTACAGGAAAGATGTTCTGTGTTTCTGATCCATATGGATGTTCATGTCTTGCATCACATGGGGGATTAGATTGTCTTATCGAAGGTGAGTTGAATTATTGTATCTTCAAAAATGTCTCAATAGAACTAATTGTTTATAGATTTATTTTATGTTCTATGAATTCTATTTATGGAATTCAAGACATGGAGACTTCTCCTCTGAAAAAGTTCATAAATGTATTGAAAGTTATTGTTACTATGTGTATATTTGTTCTCAAACCTGTAAAATGTCACATAATAATTTTAATATCATTTTTAGTAAGTAGCATACCATATTATATTGTATTGTATTGTATTGAATCGAGTATCTCTGGTTACAACCTTGTAGGTCACTTGGCGGTAGATGTTATTGTTAATTTTTGACACACAATTCAAATGTGACTGCTTTATTATTCAGTTCAACAAACAATGTTATACGCTTTGATGACAGATTTTAGTGTGACCTAATTAAATAGTTGTGACATTTTTGTATGGGAATTTATTATAAAAATAAAATAAACACCGGGAAATATAGCTGAATAAATCAAAGAATAAAACAAAGAATTGTTGAATATTGAATGAATGAACTGTATGACAAATAAAAGTTTTGGAGGAACAGCTAGCTTTTGAAGGTAGTCTCCCATAATTAACAGTTTGCAATGGTGCCAATTCTCAATGAACTTTTGATCATACATTGGCTCATTGTATCCCAGACGCTTCCAATAATACCACACCGAGTAATATTGTTTCGACCTGTCGTGTAGAACCCTGTCACTGAGTGTAAGGCCTGCTTATTGCAATTGAGACGGCCACCCACAGAACTCACACTGGACAGGGGGTTCTTTTACTGCTAGAATAGGGTAGACAAGACAATAGTACTGGTAATGAATTACACATACACCAAAATATCGAGTTAAAGCTCCTGGCTTTAATACCTCTCAAAATAATTACACGAAACAAAGCACAGAAAGATACAATAAATAAAGTCACTAAAATAGGGGATTGCTTAGGAAAGTGTGCATTGGTGATAACATACAGTTCCAGGATGTAGAAATAGACGACAGTCAATGGCTTCTACAACACAACAACAAAGAAATACAGGAGTCTTGCTTGCAGAGGGAAGCTGTTATTCTGGAGGGCGCCACTGAAAGCAGGAGATCGCAGAGCAGTTCATACATGTCTCACAGAATGATGGTTGAATCCTGTATCACTTGATTCACAATATCGCAATAGCTACACATAAGATACTAAGTTGTAATGATGGACCCCAACTGTCCTGAGTCTGTCTAATGTATAGGCATGATTCAGTGACACCACCTGGGTTTCCACATGAGCCAATCAGAATGTGATCTTGCTAGCAGCTGTGTCACGTTGGCAACCCAGTATATCATCAACATCTTTTGTTATTCAAATAACAGCACACCTGGTAGATTCCAATTTTCCTTCCAAAGTTGTAAACACCCTTTGTTATGTAAATCACAAGCACACGTGGTAGATTCCAACTGTCCTTCCATAGTTGAAAACAAGTATGACCAGTCAATCACCTTTATGACAGTTATCACACGGCAATGCACATCGTTTCTTTCCATGATTCCATGCACACTCTATTTGCAAGGTTTGAGGTAATATGACAAAAACATAAAATAAAGGATGTTGACAAACCCACACTGTATTTCACATAGGCGACGTTCACGGTTCCCAAAGCAACCAGTATCTCATATCATCCAACTCAACTCTCACTGAAAGATACATTGTCCATGATGTATCTACTCTCACTCTCTACAATATAAGTACATGTAACTTTGTAACTCTACACAAAATGAAAATTGATTTCAAATATGAAAATGGATTTTAAATGCGAAAATGTTTTTTTTAAATGAAAATGAATTTAAACAATTATTTTTTAAAAATAAAAAAAATGGATTTTAAAAACAAAAAATGGATTTAATTGTTTTTTTAAAATAAAAACAGATATCCGAAACGAAAGTGGGTTTTAAAAATCGAATTTAGAACCAACCATGTTTACACTGAAATGTCCTGTTATAAATTGTTTCTTAGTCAAGTTCACGAGTAAACGTCATCTCCCATCACCATTCAGAGCACCATTCACAGTCTGTTTCGTCTATCTGCTGCCAGCTAAGTAGGCGAATTGTTCGATAACAACTGGTCATACTAGGCTTTTAATGTCCAATAATCAATCTTCACAGTGGAAGATATCGCTGTAACCTTTCACGGCCTAATTCCATCATGCCTATCCTCGTGTACTTTTAACTAATAATATGAAAAATATTTTGAAGCTCAATCATGTCCAGTCTTACATATAACCATAAGTTAGTCTATAATTTACAGTATGGTTTTCATCAAACTGCACTCAAGAGTACAGTCTTTCTGAAAAAATAATAGTCCAAAAATATATACAAAAAATCTAAACGTAAGAACCAGTCTTCATCCAATGCCAACTACCACTCGCGTTTTAACCAGTGTACAGTGAATACAATGTTAAACTCTCAAATCATTCAAAGTCATTCAACTAGTTATGAGATTATAAGATTCTATTCTTGAATATGTCAATAATTATAACTTGACATGCGTCGCATTACGAACCCCCTCTAAACCAAGCAAGATACAAGCCAAATATGTATAGGGTATTCGTCGTAGATACAAGCCAAATTTATATAGGGTATTTATCGTAACAAGTAAAACGGACCATCGACAAAGGCATGCATCAACAATCGATATATTATGACTGCAGTCAAATTGCAGTAACAACGGCTTAACGAAACAGTATACACAGATAGAGAGACTTAAATATCTATACTATATTATAGATGTCTCCATACCTGTACTGTCGCTATGTCTGTTGTGTTAAATATAGCATTGTCTTACCTCGCATTTAATCAGAAATTCTATCACACTAGCACATTAACGTCTATGTTATATATATTTTTTATTTATTTATATATATCCTCGTCCAGCAACTATAACCCATCAGACTACTCATCAGACTATTTCTAAAGTATTACCTATAAAGCTTTGTAGGAAATCTAGACACATAAACTGAGCTCAAGCAATCTACTAATACGGCATCGACCAATGCTAGCTATTTTTCGCTGACAGATTTGACCATGTTTTGTAATGTACCTGCCAGTTAATTGTTTTGTTGATTTTTTTCTTGATTGTTGTTTATCTATTATTTCTTCTTGCATGGTTTTACAATATTTGCGGACAATAACACAACTTGGTACACAAATGCTTTAGAGCAAATGCTTTATACATGATTAGTTTGGGTTAAAAATCTATGCATATTAATTACCTAATGATACAAAACTCGAAATCAATTACCCCATTTCCACATATACTGCTCTAACCTATCTTCCTCAAATTAGTAAATTTAAGTTATGCCACATATGGGTAAGATATCACCCCAAAAAGGTTCCCAAGGGGCCAGGCCTGCTTGAATTCTCAAGATAAGGACACACAATCTCACATGTTCATGCACAGGGTAAATTACTACACACCAGCCAGATTGTCGTGATGGTTCATGGAGAATATTGGGTTTGCACAAACATGCATATACTACAAAAATACACGAGTTGAGAAACAAGTATGTAATTTGTGTTCTGCAGAGTGATGGCAACCTGCCATTGAAAATCATATAATAGCTGCACTGCTGTTACCTAGAGGATCTCACCACGGATTGCCCTGGTGATGTAACATGGTGGGACAGAACATAACTAACATCACACACACTGATTTATAGACAGTGTACATCAGGTTTACTGTTATTATTATGAATTATCATGAATCATTGTTTCTCATTACAGTAGCCTAGCAAAACTGTTGTTAGTGTGGTTCATGCGAGCCAGAGGGTCGGTAGATATTCTGAGTGTTGCAACCCAGTGTTTGATAGAAATATATAGTTCAGATGAAATAAACCTGAAACGCATTATTTCGCGATTCAAGTCAGGGGTAGATTTAACATTGATGTCATCATTTTTTGTATTACCAGATTGTCCTTCTGGAACATATGGAGCTGGATGTACACAGATATGTCACTGTACCTATGGATGTAATACAAAAGGATATTGTATTAGCAGTCCTGGTGATTGTGATGCAGGATGGAGTGGTAATAATTGTAAAGGTATGACTATGATATCACATCAGATATGTCAGTTTATCAATGGGGGTAATTACAAACGGAGAATTTATTAGCAGTCCAGGTGTTTGTGATACAAGATGGAGTGGTAATAAGTGTAAAGGTATGACTATGATATCACATCAGATATGTCAGTTTATCAATGGGGGTAATTACAAACGGAGAATGTATTAGCAGTCCAGGTGTTTGTGATACAGGATGGAGTGGTAATAAGTGTAAAGGTATGACTATGATATCACATCAGATATGTCTGTTTACCAATGGATGTAATTACAAAAGGAGAATGTATTAGCAGTCCAGGTGTTTGTGATACAGGATGGAGTGGTAATAAGTGTAAAGGTATGACTATGATATCACATCAGATATGTCAGTTTATCAATGGGAGTAATTACAAACGGAGAATGTATAGCAGTCCAG